ACTCAGGTCACCAAGAGGGACGAGGACTCTTCCCTGATGCAGCTGAAGGAGGAATTCCGCAGCTACGAGGCCTTGAGGAGGGAGCACGATGCTCAGATTGTCCACATCGCCCTGGAAGCCGGTCTCCGGATCTCTCCCGAGCAGTGGTCCTCCCTCCTCTACGGCGACCTGGCTCACAAATCCCACATGCAGTCCATCATCGATAAGGTCAGCTCCGGCCTCCAAGGACGCTGCTTCTTCTGCCCCCTCCCCCACCCCAGTGGTGGGATTCAAAAGTTTATACTACCGGTTCTGTGGGTGTGGCTTGGTGGGTGTGGCAGGGGAAGGTTACTGCAAAATCACCCTTCCCTCCCCACCCCACTAACCTGCTTTCCAGCTCCGTTCTCCTGGGCAGGGCAACCAAAGGAGACCCAGCCGATCAGCCGGGATTCGATGGGAGGCAGAGAAGAGATGGGGTTGGTGGGGCCAGTCAGAGGTGGGATTGGCCGGTTCTCTGAACGACTCAAAACTTCCGCTACCGGATCTTGAGAACCGGTCAGAACCGGCTGAATACCCACCTCTGCAGAGACCTCCCTTCTCCCCTTGGGTTCCTACTGCAAACCTTACAAGCATTGAGCCAAGTGCTTTCTGAGCTGCCCTTGCTCGAGATCCCCCTTTGATTTTTGGGAGGGGGGAGGACGGGAAAGATGTTTAAGGGGGGCTTAGAAGGCTAGCACCCCCCTCCATGTTACCCAGCATGCCTTCGGCTGGGGGGGGGGAGTTTGAGCCCTTCTTGCTTCACCTAGCCTTGTCATTGCAAAGTTTAATTTGGGTCACCACGACCTCCGTTCCCAGCGCTAACTACTTAGGGGATTCTGGGGCAGTGGTGGTATACAAAGTTTTTTTACTACCGGTTCTGTGGGCGTGGCTTGGTGGGCGTGGCTTGGTGGGCGTGGCAGGGGAAGGTTACTGCAAAATCACCCTTCCCTCCCCACCCCACCGACCTGCTTTCCAGCTCCGTTCTCCTGGGCAGGGCAACCAAAGGAGACCCAGCCGATCAGCCGGGACTCAATGGGAGGCAGAGAAGAGATGGGGTTGGAGGGGCCAGTCAGAGGTGGGATGGGCTGGTTCTCCGAACTACTCAGAATTTCTGCTGCCGGTTCTCCAGAACCAGTCAGGACTGGCTGAATACCCTCCTCTGCCCCCCGCCTCCTCCTGCCAGCCTTTGACGCATCCAATGATGAAGTTGCATAGGGCAGATTCTGAGCTGGGAGCTGCGGCTCGTAAACGCTGATCTTCTGTTTATGCGGTCTGAGGATGCGGCTCCGTTTGGGGGAGGAAGGGTTTTCCTCTGCCCTCTGTGCTGTATGTCCTTCTGAGAAGCAAAACCTGGGTTTAGAAGACATTTCCCCACTATCCTGGTCAGAGCTGAAGAAGCTCCTTGAATGAGAAGTGAAACGTCTTCGAAAGGGAAAAAAAACAAGAAAGTCCACTTGCCTTCTGAAAAAAAAGAGCGCCTTTGAGACAGCATAACGGGATGACGGAGAAACTCTGCAGACTTTTAGCTATGCAATTTGGGATGAACACCGTTGGAAGGGTGTGGGAGGAGGAATGGATTTCCAGAGGAAACGAAAGTTGCAGACTAGGGGTACCAGGAGCACCACTCAGGGGACCCTGAGGACCCAGATAAACCTCCAAATGGCCTCAAGAACTCTCTAAAAAAGGATGCAAATGACCGGTTGTCTGTCCCCATCCAGTCAGAGCTGAATAAGCTCCTTGTATGAGAAGCGAAATGTCTTCAAAGAAAAAAAAAGAAAGAAAGTCCCATTTGCTTCCTGAAAAGGCACCTCTGAGATTTGGGTGGAAGTGAAGCTGCTTTTTTTCTTCCTATCACCCAAGGCCATGCTCAGCACCCAAATAATATTTTTATATGTCCTCCCGCTCCACTATCTGTAGGTTAAGCTGCAACATTGGTGCTACGTTAAGAAAGAATGCTCAAACTCCCATCACCACCACCACCCCGAAAATTCGGCCACTGTGTTGTTGCATGACATTGCACTATCGTCCCACCCACCTTGGGGAAAAGCTTTTGGAAATGTTAAATCTGTCGACAAAAGAGGCGTGCAAAACGTGTGTGTGTGTTTCTTTTCACTTAGCTCCAGTCTCCGGAGTCCTTTGCAAAAAGCGTGCAGGAACTAACCATTGTTCTGCAGCGAACGGGGGACCCCGCCAACCTCAATCGGCTCCGTCCCCATTTGGAATTCTTGGCTAACATAGATCCTAATCCAGGTATGTTGGCGGAGAGAAGGCGGAGCCCCACACACTGCTGCTTTGTTCTGTCTCCTTTTTTCCCCCTCCTCCCCTATAGGCAACATAGAATAGAATAGAATAGAATAGAATAGAATAGAATAGAATAGAATAGAATAGAATAGAATAGAATAATGAATGGAACAGAATAATGAATGGAACGGAACGGAATAGAATAGAACAGAAATGCAGAATGGAAAGGAATGAAAAAGAAAGGAATGGAATAGAACAGAACAGAACCAAAATGCAGAATTGAATGGAATGGAATGGAATGGAATAGAATAGAATAGAATAGAATTCTTTATTGGCCAAGTATGATTGGACACATGAGGAATTTGTCTTTTGTGCACATGCTCTCAGTGTACATAAGAAAAAATAACATACATTCATCAAGAATCGTAAGATATCAACACTTCGTGATAGTCAGGTTACTAATAATCAAATCATACAGAAGTTACTAATACACAGTCAAAACATACTAGGAAAACAAAACAATATAAATTGTAATGATACAAGCAACACGATTATAGCCATAAGCCATAAGAGATAGGTAATAGGAAGGATGAGAAAAAGAATAGTAATACAGTCTTAGTAAATAGTTTGACAGGGTTGTGGGACTTAGTTGTTTAGGGGGAAACTGTCCTTATGTCTAGTTGTTGTGGTGTGCAATGTCCTATAGTGTTGTTTGAGGGTAGTAATTGAAACAATTAATTTAAAACATGGTTTGATCCTTTTCACACGATACTTTTTCCAGTCTTTGTTGGTTGCAAAAGATGACATAAATGATCTAGAAAGATGAAATCATGGCCACCGGACCAAAGTTTATTAAAAGTGAGACATTTCGTTACTCTGTCAAAAGGTAACTTCTGTCAAAATGAAGATTTGGGTAGGCAGAGAGTCATTGGAAAGAACCAGCTTCTTGCCATACAGACTGCAGGGGGTTTCTCTCCAAAATGAAAAGCAACGTGTAAATGAAGATTCAATCATCCAGGCCAAAAGGATCCTAAAAGGTTAAATCATGGTGACTGGATGATTGAATCTTCATTTACACATTGCTTTTCATTTTGGAGAGAAACCCCCTGCAGTCTGTATGGCAAGAAGTTGGTTCTTTCCAACGACTCTCTGACTCCTGGCCTACCCAAAATTTGACTGAAGAAATTACTTCGATGAGTATCGAAACGCCTCAGTATTAATAAACTTTGGTCTGGTTACCGTTGGTGCGTTCTGCATTTATCTGGCAGCATAAGGCTTTGTAACAGTTTTTAAAGTTGGCTACGTAGCCAGTTTTGTTTTCTCGCCAAAGAGAATTTTTTTGAGGGGGGGGGATTGTAACTTTCTTATTGTTATGGGTAATTTGGGTTTGAGGTGTTTTTTTTTTTGGCTTTAAGGATTATTTTTGGAATGTATAGACTCTATTGACTTTGAGCAAAAAAGTATTATAATGGTCTTCTGCAGTATTACAACCTGTGAACAAACGGAGCCAATCAAGAGATGCCAGGTCGTCAGCTATGAGATCATAGTTGTCTTTTTTAAAATTATAATTTGGAGTCACATCATTACGATGATTCAACCTTTTAAGATCCTTTTGGCCTGGATGATTGAATCTTCATTTACAGGATGGAGATGAGCTTCACTGCCATCATCTTTTGGAGAAAGTGGGTTGTATAGAGGGGAGAAAACATGGAGATTTCCTCTTGGGGTTGGGGGAAACAGTGCCCATCAGTAACCTGGCCATTTTTAAAGAAAGGTTAATCCTGCTGTGAGTTTTCCTCTCTTGAACAGGACTCTTTGGAGGAGGCCTGCTGTCAGCTGTCCAGCTAGCAAATCCCCCAAAAAGGAACCCCTGGGACATTGTTCTTCCCCAAAATAAAACCTTATTGAATACACTACACTGGCACGGAAGAAGTGAAAGTTTCCAGCATGCAAAGTTAAACTAGGCTTTTCCCCTTTTGGCCATCCCCCTCAGTTCATTGTGTTATCCAATTAAATGTGCTCCTTTTGTTAGGAGAACAGCCTGCATCGTTCCAACAGCTGTGCGGGGTGGCCTTGGGGGTGGCAACAAGACTGAAATGGAGTCTTGGCCTTCCATTCCCACCCCAAACATTCCAACTACCCTCCTCCCAATTGTTGTCCAGCTGCGAGCGAAGAAGTAACTAGGTGAAAGAGCGAAATCACTCTTGGCACCTGCAAAATGGAATCGGACACAATTGCGACGTGTTCCTGATAAGCTACCGAAAGTTCATTTTAATTCTTCCCTTTTCGCACCCTCCCAGATGCAGCGTCTCCGACATGGGAGCAGCTGGAAAACGCCACGGTGGCCGTTAAGACTGTGGTGCGTGGCCTTGTGGATTTCATCCAGAACCACAGCAGAAAAGGCCCCGAAATTCCACAGGTTGGTGGTTCCAGTTTGGTTTCTCGTAACATAGCACTTTGATGCACACAGAAACCCATGGAACAGCAAGTAAGCCTAAAACTAAATAGTCTCTGTCTCTCTATCTCCATCTCTGTCTGTCTCTCTCCCTCTGTGTGTGTCTGTCTCTCCGTCTCTGTCTCTCCATCTCTGTCTCTGTCTCTCTCTGTCTCTCTGTCTCTCTGTCTCTCTCTCTCTCTCTCTCTCTCTCTTTCTCTGTATCTCTGTCTCTGTCTCTCTCTCTCTCTGTCTCTCCATCTCTGTCTCTTTCTCTGTCTCTCCATCTCTCTCTCTCTCTCTCTCTGTCTCTCTCTCTCT